CTGGGAAAACAATGAACCAAACCAGAAAGGAGCGCCTGTCTTCAGGAAGCTTAGCAGGGACATCGCCCACTAATCCTGGCTCTCGCGTGCACTCAAAGCTAGTGTCAGCAGTCTTCAGAAGTTCGCGCTCTGAAATCGTGAACTCTGTACCCCTGCAAAAGGGCAGCCACACAGCGTGGAATAATTGTGAGAAGGAACTGTAATGATGCAAACAGAAGGCTCAGCTGAGTGCAGGGATCTAGCAGTTGCTCAATAAATGTCACCGAGGACCATGATGAGAAAGACAGCTGTTCGCACTGCAGTCCTCTTGCAATGACCTCACTTCCAGGCCAGAGCCCCCATCTGCAAGGCTGCTTCTGACTCCAGGCAGTATTCCTTCCATTATCCCAGGCAGAAAAGAGAAAGGGTGACTCATGTTGCAGCTCAGGGGAGCGTGGGGCTGGCCTGCACCTGCTGGGACAAGAGGCCCCAATGCCGAGGGGAAATCCGAACCTCCAGGGCCCAGCTGCAGGGCCAATGCCTTTCCTGGCTCTCACAGGCATCCGGATCACTAGAGCCAGCCAGGGAGCCCCAGCGACAGTGAAGCCCCGGCCTCTGGTGAACATGCCCCCCGCTACCCCCGGAGTCTCTCATGGAGAGTGGGCAAAGCAATCCCGTGACGGCTGCACTTCAACCTGCTCCTACACGTGGCCAGAACTTGGACTTGGAAAAAAAGTTGACCCTGCCTTCAGTGACAGCCCTGACCTAGCAAACCACTTCCCTGATTCTCCACGTGGCAGGGGCCCCCTTCCGGGTGCTCGGTTCCAGGTCTGGAACAAAGGGACAGGATAGCTATTGCAAAATGGGCCGAGTTCACAAACAGCATTGCACAGAGCAGAATCACGCATGTAGGAGGGAAAGGTTCAACATCATGGTCATCAAAGAAATGCACATTCAAATAAGAGTGGCAGAATTTATTGATGAACAGCCTGGTAAAAATAAAATGCAATGGAAATATCAAGAGGGGAAGCAGTCATTGCCACTCAATGCTGGTTGAGTGTGCAAATAAGTACAATCTTCCTAGAAGTCAACCCAGAAATGTGTTCACCGAATGCCTGCATAATTCCTTTGATGGGGTCATTTCACTTCTAGGAATTTAAAGAAAAGAAAGAAAGCATGTGCAAAAAAACATTCATTTCAGCGTGGCTTACAACAGCAATAAAAAATGTAAACAACTTATACAAGTAACAATAAAGGAATGATTAAACACATTTTGTCCAACCCCCCAAAAAATACTATATAACCATCAAGATATCAAGTAGAATATTTATTGATATAGAAAGACATTCACAGCACATTATTTGGAAGGGAAAGAAGCAATTACAAAACAGGTGTTTCCAAGACACAAATATGTATATACAGAAGGGCTCTATTTTGGGGGGGGGCATAGAAGGGGATCAATAAAAGAAAGAAAACAGTCCAGAAATAGAAATCCAACAATTTTATCTTTGGCTAAAATTACATGTCCAACTTTCTCCTTTAGGTACGGCATTATATTCTAAAATTATATAATTAACTACCTTTAAATGACTAAGGGGTTGGAGCAGATGACTTACAAAATTCTGACCCAGTCTCTACCTTGGGCATCCAGTACTGCTCCCCAGGAGACTCCTAGCAGCCCCCATTTAGCATGGGCTTTCCCCCTGAAGCCCTCGCCCACAGCTGCAGCCCTCTGCATTCCTCTCTCCCCACACTCGCCGCCCAGCTGTCACCCTGCTGGCCTGGGAACTTCTACTTGGCAGGGCCCAGCTGCACCCCTGTCCATAATCCATGTGCCGACCCAAGAGTGGGCAAGGGATCGTGGCTCAGCATGCTGACAGGAGCCGTGCGGGCACAAAGAGATACAAGGCACAACTCCAACTCCAGCATCTCAGCGGATCCAGGGCTCTGGACACAGACAGTGTGCCTGGTTGTGTAACTCAGACTAAGAAAACCAAGAGAAAAGGCAGGGCAAGCCAGGCTGGGAAGGCCGAAGAGGGCCACGCGGGGTGGGTGGGCACGGGCACTCCAGACAAGGCACAGCCTGAGCAGAGGTGACACCAGCCCAGAGTCCTTTGGGAAGCAATCCTCCAACCTTTCCAAGAACCTTTCACAATCCTTGCTCTGCTCAATTTCCGTACTTTGGCCCCAACGAGGGTAAAAGTTAAGTCTCCCTGTAATCTAACTCTGGATTAGCCACCAAAGACAACAGAAACCTTACAGACAAGGTCAATGAGTGACCACTGTATCCACTTTCTCCAACCCTGTGGAGGGGAGAGGGGGGCAGAGAGGAGGGCAAGGGAAAGGCTGGGGTGGGGGAGAGGGGCTCCGGGACCCACCGCACATCTGCATGCAAACGCTGCTCACCCCACCACCTGGCCACGGGGTTCTCACCGGCACCACCAGCCCCGTTTGACAGCGGCACCACCAGCCCCGTTTGACAGCTGGCGGACAGAGGAGTGGAGAGTTAAAATGGCTAGCTCGGGGTCACCCAGCCAGAGAGTGGGTTAGACGACTCCACTCAGGCCTTCTGACTCCAAGTCCAGTGCTATTTCGAGGTAACACACAGGACCTGGAGTCAGGAGCCCTGGGTGGCTCTGTCACCCGCTGGCTGCGTGGTCCTGGACAAGCCGCTCACCCTACACACAGTCTCCTTCCCCAGCTGTAAAAGGAGGCGGCGCGCGATGGCCCGCCCAGGTCCTCCTCCGGCCCCCGGGGCGCCCTCAGCCTTCTAGGGGCGGCCGCAAAGCTCGTCCTACCCATTACATTTCCCAAGTTGGGCCGGCAAGGCTCAGCGGCAGATCCTCGGCCTGTCACGTGCGTCAGTAAGAAAAAAAAAAAAAAAAGGCAAACGTCCCAGATTAACTTTCACTGCAGCGCTTCAGCTGCCATCCGACCGCCCGACTTGCTAGTTTCCTAGGGTGAAAAGCCCCCGCAGGACGGGCTGGCGGGGGGCCTAAGACGGGGGACGCATCAGCGATGGGGGTCGCAGTGCTGAGGCTGAAGGTAAACCCCGTGTCAGCTCCCGGGCCCGCAGCTCCAGCCGTTCCGGGCCTCCCTGTCTGCAGGCATGCGGACGCCCGCCGCGATGCCGGAAAGCGCAAGGCCCGGGGCCAGTATCCTCCCGAAGATCAGAATCAGAATCAGAACCAGAACCCAGCCCGCCTCGCCGCAGGCTTTCGTGGCCCGGGCTGCTGAGGCTGGGACGCGCCTCGGCGCACACACGGGCGCTGGGCGTGTGACGGAGCCGGCGACGGCGGCGGGAGCTCCACCGCAGTTTCGTCAGCGGCAAAGGTACGCGCCCGGCGCGCGCACACTGCACACACACACACACACACACACACAGGCACACACGCACACACCCGCACCCCCGCGCGCGGCGCCCGACCCGGAGCCGCGCGCCATCACACGCCGCCAGCCCCCTCGGCCGCCGCCGACCCACTCGAGCGCGCCCGCCGCCGAGCACGCGGCCCCGCGGCTGGCTCCCGGGCGCAGCGCCGTCCGCAGCGCGCGCCGGCCCGCCTTCCCCAGTGCGCCGCGGGCTTCCCCTCCGCGACAGCCGCCACACCACGCCACGCCACGCCGCGCCGCGCCGCCCGGAGCCGGCCCGCAGCCGCGCGCGCCTCGGCGGCTACGTCCCCCTCAAGTCGCGTCTCGCCGCGAGGAGTCAGCTTGCAAGCCTCTCCCCGCCCACCCGGTCCCATGACAGCTGCTACCGCCCAGAGACTGGCAGATTACAACAAGAAGCAAAGTTTCCCTCTCTCTCTCCTCCCACCTCCCGGCCCCTCCGCCCTCCCCCTCCCTTCCCGTGTTATGCAAAACGGGCCAGCACCGGCGCTCCCACTCCAGGTACCCAGCCGGCCCCCGCGAGCCGCGCCCGGTTCCACCCCGCAGCCCCTCTCGGCGCCCAGGCGTGTCCCCGCGTCCGGGGTCTCCCCCGAGGCCCCGCCGTCTCCCCAGCCTCCCGGCGACCTGAAGCCGAGCGCCCGGAGAAAAAGCCCGAACTCTGGAGCCAAACTTTATGCTTGCAACAGGCATGGGTGGGGGCGAGCGGGGCAGGGGTGGGGGGCGCGCATGCCGCGGACCCCGTTTTGGAGCAGGGGCCGGGCAGCACCCCGTCTTGGTTCCAAGAGGCCGGGTTTTCGTTTTCCCCCTGGGAAAATTAAGCAACCATCTCTTTAAGGGCGTGTGACGGGGGGGCTCTCGGGCTCGGCCAGAGCCCGGGACGCCGCCTCGCCTTCCCTTCCCCCTGCATCGTGGAGCGCGCGCCGGGGCCGCGCGCCGCGGGGGGACCCAGGCGCCCCCTGACATCCCTCACGCCCCCACCCCGCCCGGCCTTGCCCCGGGGGGCTCCGCGGGAGAGCGAAACCAGGAAGGCGCTGGCTGTCTCCGCCTGCAGGTCCACGTGCCCGCAGACCCCTATGCCCTTAGCCCGCAACTGGCAGGAAACTCCGCGCTGCGGGCGCCAGTGGGGAGCTGCGGGGGGCTAGCAGCCGCACTCGGGGGGGCCAGGGGCCGGAGGACCAGGCGACTCCGGGGACCGGGGCAGGCGCCCGTGCCGGGGCCCCAAGTCCACGTGAAAGTACGCCAGCAAGTGCCGGGCGCTGAGGGCGCGCCTCCAGCACCCGGCGCCAGCCAGAGGGTCCCCCATACCTTGGCGCGGCTGCACCTCCCCAAGGAAGCGGAGTACCCCCTGCCCGACTCGCGGGGAGGCGGACTCCAGCCGGCTAAGGCGAGACCCTCGCCGGCGGACGTAGCGCCCCCCGGCGCCCAGGCTCGCGCCGGGGTTGGGGGGGGTACCTCCGGCTCCTCCGCGCCCCTGTACGGGAGCGCATCGCAGGGCGCGTGGAAGGGGGGCTCTGCAGCCTGGAACCCCAATCTCCCCAGCGCGCCCACCGCTGCGTCCCAGCCTCCGCGGCTGCGGCTGCAGCCCCCGCGGCTCAGCACCGGGTTCCTGGGCCTGTGGCCCCGGCCGGCCGTACCTGCGTGTCGGCGAGATAGTTGAGGAAGAAGGAGGAGAGCTCTTCGTCCAGCAGCGCGCCGCAGTCGTTCCCCGCCATCTTCCAGCCGCGGCTGCAGCGTGCGGCGGAATCAGCGCCGAGCCGGCCCGGGGGGAGGGAGCGAGCGAGCGAGCGAGCGAGCGGGCGAGGGAGGAGGGAGGAGGGAGCGAGGCCGGCGGGAGGCGGAGGGCGGAGCTCGGGCCCGGGGCTGCCGCAGGGCCGCTGGCTGCGGGGGCGGGGCCGCGCGGCGCCCGCGCCGGCCGGGGGTCGCACCCCGACTTGGCTGCGCAGAGCCGGACGCCGAGACCCGCTCCCACAGCCTCCCGCAGGGAGGAGAGAGCCCGCAGCCGGGTGGCGGTGCCCCAGCCGAGCAGCCCGATGCCTGCGCAGCAATGCGGGCAGCCCCCCGCTCTTGCCACAGCGAATCACGTTGCGTTAGCGCTGGGCGGGCCCTGCGAGGCGACCTGCTGCCGCACAGCTGGGGAAACTGAGGCTCGGGAGGCGGCACGGGGCGGAGGGGTGGGGGTGGGGGGCGAGAACCACGTCTGAACCGCTGTGCACTTCAGTAGCAGAAAGAGAAAGCCCAGGAGGCTGGAATGTCTCAGACTGCAAGCCCAGAGAGGGAGGAAGAAATGCCTTAGGTCACAGGCAGAGCAATCATGGAAGGCTCCTCAGAGGAGGTGGCATTTTAATTTTTTCTTGGAAGAATACATTGACCCCTGTTCTGTAAGACCTGGCTTGATCGCGCTTGCAATCTCTCTCTCTCTCTCACTCTCTCTCACTCTCTCATTCCCTCCCAACAGCCCTCCCCCCCAAAAAAAGCACCTCTGGCCACTTCTCTGGCCAGGATCCACATGCCTTGAAGCAGCAGAGCTCCTGCTGCCAAGCCGACAGGCCTTCTCAGCCCGTGACAAGGGCCCTCTCCACCCAGCAGCCATTCACCCACCCTCAGACCTCTGCTCCTGAACCTGCCACCTCGGGCTCCCTTAGCTCTGCCTCCTCTCTGTTTCTCTCCCTACGGGGACTCTAAGGCCCGTGAAAGCCAGGCTTCAGTCTGTTTGGCATTCACGTCTGCGGGTCCTGCACACAGTAGGCGCTTCATGAGGAATGTGTGAGCTGATCCTCACCAGCATCACCACCCACGTCGTACAGATCCAGACGCCGCCAAGGGCGCACTCGTGGCCAGGAGAACCCGGGCCCCTTGACGTCAACCTTGAACCCTCATCCTCCTGCCCCGCTGTTTACCAGGCAGGAGATGAGGGCATGGCCTGGACCAAGGCACGGAGGCGGGAAGATCTGGGCCGGTTTTGTTGGGCACACCCGCCAGGGCCGTCCTCCCACCGTGCACTTACCAGGGCACCCCACCCCGCACGCACAGCCAGAGGAGGAAACACACAGCCCCCAGCGCACCTGCTCAGACTTGAACGCCAGGGCAGGAGCTTCTTCGGGCTGGAGTCTGAGGTTCCCAGAACCGCAACGCGTGATTTCACTCTCTGGGCTTACAGCCTGCAGGCTTTTAAAGAACAATGTGTCTCTACGGGGAGCCTTTGCCTAGCCTTGGAGCTCTCACTGGGAGTCTAAAGGCTGGGGGTTCTGGTCGGGCCCCTGCCACGTCTGGTTCTGGTGGGCAATTCAGCAAGTTAAGAGCAGGGGCCCCGGAGTCACACGGCCTGGTTTGGTCTCAGGCCAGCAAGTCATTTGGTCTCAGGCCCTGAGGCTTCTTCATCTACACCAATGGGATCATAATTGCTCACCCGTGGAGATGGGAGGAGGATTGTGGAGATAGGTGAAGTGCTTGGCCTGGTGCCTGCCCTCCTGGGGGAGATGCTAAGCTCTCTGGCCCTCTGTAAAAATGAGGATAAAATACTCATATGGGGGTACTTCAAAAGGTTTGGGGGGAACAGGATTAAAAGCATGCAATTATTTTGATGCAAAAAAATTTTGGTGCCAAAAAAAGTTTTCTCAGAATAAATGGAAAACGTGAATTATGGAGGAAAAAAAAAAGCTATGGATAGATTTCAAAATTTTTTTGCACTAAAATAAACCTATCTTTTTTAAAAAGATTTATTATTCTATTTATTTGAAAGGCAGAGTTACAGAGAGAGAGAGAGAGAGAGAGAGGAGAGAGGAGAGAGGAGAGAGAGAGAGAAAGAGAGAGAGATCATCTATCCCCTGGTTCAATCCCCAAATGCCTACAATGGCCAGGCGGAAGCCATGAGCCAGGAGCTTCTTCCAGGTCTCCTTGTGCATGCAGGGGCCCAAGAACTTGGGACGTCTGCTGTTTTCCCCAGGCGCATTAGCAGGGAGCTGGATCGGAAGTGGAGCAGCCATAGGGGATGCCACTGTCGCAGGCCGAGGTTTAACATACTGTGCAACAGCACCAGCCCCTAAACTCTCCTTCTTAATTATGTTCTCCCCTGAGCTTTTTGGAGTACCCTTGTATACGTACAACCTCTGAAGGCATTACCAGGTGCTCCTCGCCTGCCTTCTACTACTTGCAGATTGTTGGTTTACCTTAGACTCTGGCACATTTAGGTTTTGATCCTGGTGCAAATTAGTCCTGCGCTCTTGGTCATTCACGTAACCTCTATGAACGTCAGTTTCCTCATCTGTAAAATGGGGGCTGGCACTGTGGCATGGTAGGTTAAGCCTTCACCTGTGGTGCCAGCATCCTATATGGGCACTGGTTCGAGTCCTGGCTGCTCCACTTTACGATCTAGCTCCCTGCTGATGGCCTGAGAAAGCAGCAGAAGATGATCCAAGTGATTGGGGCCCTGCACCCATGTGGGAGACTGGGAAGAAGCTCCTGGCTCCTGGCTCCTGGCTCTGAATCAGCCCAGCTGCAGCCATTGCAGCCATTTGGGGAATGAACCAGTGGATGGAAGACCTCTCAGTCTTTCTCTCCATCTCTCTCTCTGTAACCCTGCCTTTCAAATAAAATAAATAAATCTTAAAAAGGGGGGGGGGTAGTAGCAAAAGTGCTACTCTACATAGGAGTCTTTTTTTTTTTCATGGACAAGCAGAGTTAGTGAGAGAGAGACAGAGAGAAAGGTCTTCCTTCTGTTGGTTCACCCCCCAAATGGCTGCTACGGCCGGCATGCTGCGCCAATCCGAAGCCAGGAGCCAGGTGCCTCCTCCTGGTCTCCCATGCAGGTGCAGGGCCCAAGCACTTGGGCCATCTTCCACTGCCTTCCCGGGCCACAGCAGAGAGCTGGACTGGAAGAGGAGCAACCGGGACAGAATCCGGCACCCCAACTGGGACTAGAACCCGGGGTACCGGTGCCACAGGCGGAGGATTAGCCAAGTGAGCCGCGGCACCGGCCTACATAGGAGTCTTGTAAAGACTGAAAGCAGGATGCATGTGAGGTTGGTTGCTTGGTCCTGCAGCTGGCATACAAGAAATGCCCGTCACCATCATCATCATCACCCACACCACCACTGACAGCACTCGAGCCTTGTCCTCCCCCAAGGCCCACAAGCACCAGAGTGGGAGTCCCGTGGGATGGTTTCTAGAGGAGTCTCTCCTGGACACAGCCTGATGCCTGGCTAGCTTTGTGCCCTTAGTAGTCCAGAAGCCAATTGCGCAGGGCCCCCAAGGTCAGCCATCTCTGGCCATGACCTTGCAGATCTGCGGTACCATTAGGTGTCTTGCCTACAAAGGCCTCAACAGCGCTTGCCCAAAGCCTTCTCTGTTTTTAAAAACTCTGGGGTTGATAGAAAAGCCACAAATGGCCCAGCCTCAGGGACTTCCTTTTCTAAAGTGTCTTCTCCCAAGAATTCCTTCATCACAGGCCCCCGTCATCACACGCACCCCTCCCAGAGGCTGGGCCCATCCCCCACTCCAAGGAGGAATCTGACTTTTTTCAAAGCCCTTAGGAGACCCAAAGCCCTCGGCACTCTTGTGCCATCTCTCTCCAGGCTGTGTTCCTGTCTGTAAAAAGCAAAGGCCAGGCTAGACGACCTTGTACAGAATCCTCCATGCCAGGTGTCGAGGCTGGGCTCGGGCTCAGCCGGAACTTAGCAGCTCGTCTATACTGAGTGTGCCGGATCCCTGGGCTTGCCTCAGCTCTAATCCCTTCCGCAGCGCTCAGGAGGGTGAATCATGATGTCCATTTTATGCCTGGGGAGGGTAAAGCTTAAAAGGGGTTAAAGTGATTAGCCTCAGACCAAGCACTTAGAGACACAGCTGAGATTTGAACCCAGATCTGTACATGGTCCAAGCCACAGCCCTCGAAAGGCAGGGAGGGAAACCTCCTACCAGCTGCACAGCCAGGGGAGGCTGGGACAGCAGCGCAGTCTCAGCTTATGACTGCCAAGTGAAGGTGGTAAGGATGCCACGCCTGGAATTCAGGTAGCTCCACTCTCTGCCGTGTGTGTGTGTGTGTGTGTGTGTGTGAGAGAGAGACATTTATGTGTCATTGTGTCATTGCTTTTAACTTTCATTTTATTGCAAAAAATCTATCTTCCATCCACTGGTTCATTCCCTAAATGCCTACAACAGCTCAGGCTGGGCCAGGATGAAGCCAACAGCCAGGAACTCCATCCAGGTGTCTCACATGGGTGGCAACAACACACAGATTTGAGCCATCACCACCGCCTCCCAGGGTCTGCATTAGCAGGAAGCTGGAGTCAGGAGCCAGCGCTGAGAATCACAGCCAGGCATCAGATGTGGAAAGCCAGCCTCCCAACCGCCAGGCTGAACGCCCGCCCCTTCTCTATCTTTGTATTGGCCCCACCTGCCCAGGGTAGTGAAAGTGAGCCGTGTGCACGCCCAGTGCAAAGCCCAGAGCGCCCCGGGCCCTAGTGAAATGGCGCAGCCAAACGAACCTACCACCAGGGACTTGGGAACTTCAGCCACTGCCGACAGATGCCCAGAAGGAAACACATTGGCATGTTCTCCTTTCTGGTAACAGGGAAAGCTTTTTCAGGTGCTACAGCTGTGGTCCCAGGCTCTGGAGGGCGCGACACCTAAGCCCCGACCCTGCCACTGAAGACTCCAATACGGCAGGTCTGGGAGGTAGGGGGAGCAGACCAGAGACTTCCCATCAGCCAGCACTGTTTAATGAGCACCTACGGTGTGCCAGCCTCTGCCCCAGCTGCCACTCTGCCCATGCTGTATCCAACAACACAACCCCTTGAGTGAGGCAAGAGCGGGGACACAGATCTTGAAAATGGCCCATGCGTTTTGCCAGCCACCACAGCTCTGGGAGTCTGTGACCCAGGCTAGGGAGGCGGACACTGGGG